AAGTGTAATTAAAGTGCGAGCTTCCGTCTAATCATCTTAGTGTCTTCGGTGCACTTATTTCTTATGATGCAAGCAATAAGTGCTCCGAAGACACCAAAACGATTTGACGCAAAGGTGCACTTTTATCACACTTTTTGCATTTTTGGGGCAGTCCAGTTTCAGATGCAACCAGCAATATATTTTGATATGTATTTTAATTATACACTGACAGAAAATTGTTTGCATTGAACCAAAAAAAAAACTTTAGTTGTATTTAAGCAAACAATTCCGGTTGAAATTATATTGCATTTTGTTGTTCCAATAATACTTATTGATATAAATTCAAAATAGGATTCTTTTTGTTTTAATAAGCCACTTTTCAACTGCAACTATTGTAAAAATAACAATATTCTATTATTAAGCCAACAATAGTTCATTTAATTTTAGCATTTATTTGATGTGTCCATTCCCCGGGCCATGAATGCAAAAATAACTACCAACCATTCCCTCGTTTTCACCCGGACAAAAATGTAAACAATAACAAAACTTGTGAATTTCGGGAAATAAGTGCAAAATTTCCGAAAATCTTGATACTTGAGGTAAGTAAGTATGCTGCAGTTGCTAAATATAATCAATTTTCTGTTTTTTTCCTTGATTTTTTTTCCGTCGATCTTGTTTCCCGTACTGAGTACCAATGCTCCCGACGCCAGGAAGGCAGCTCCCACACCTGGACCCTACATATCGACCCATCAACTAATGAACCGGGGACCAACGGCTTTACTTCCCTTCCGAAGGATGATCAGTGAAAAAGAAAACAAAACATAAAATTAATTGCCCATATTATTAAATATTATTCAATAAACATATTTTTATTTCTACTGCGTGAATTTTGAATTGAATCAACAAGAAATCTCTTTTAAAGACAAACATATTTTGTTGTTGACCCAGTTGCCAAATTTGACAGCTTACGCCAAAACTAGTGATGGAAGAAAAAGAAATCATTATTATTTCAACAATCCAGTATTGTTGTTCCTTAAAACCCGAGGGGTGCGACACATCTAAATCTCGATTTTAAATGGTCGAAGAATCTCACACTAGGTATAGCGAATCAATTTACGAAAAATCTTTTTTCATCTCTTGCATCTAAACCCATCTACTCGCATCGCTCTCCACCTTTTTGCAGGAACAGGAAATCTTCAAAATCATAATCAATCGTGTTTTTATCTATTAAGCGGGAGTGCATCTCCCAACAGCAAAGCAAAAAAATTCCTACATCTTAGATAGAGTCGCCTCCCTCGTTAAAACCCATGGATTGTTAAATCAGAAAGAAAATCTTTTCGAATTTACAAGAGCTTTCATGGTTTTGACGTAAGCTGTCAAATTTGGCAGCTGGGTCAACAACAAAAACATGTTTGTTTTTAAAAGAGATTTCTTGTTGATTCAGTACAGAAAACAAGATCGACGGAAAAAAAATCAAGGAAAAAAACAGAAAAATTGATTATATTTAGCAACTGCAGCTCGAACTACAGCATACTTACTTACCTCAAGTCTCAAGATTTTCGGAAATCTTGCACTTATTTCCCGAAATTCACAATTAAAAACAATTCTTACGTGGAACGCGGAAAAGAGCTAAATCAAACGAGAAAAGTTTTGTTATTGTTTATATTTTTGTCCGGGTGAAAACGAGGGAATAGTTGGTAGTTATTTTTACAATCATGGCCCGGGGAATGGACACAGAAAATAAATGCTTAATTAAAATTAACTATTGTTGGCTTAATAATAGAATATTGTTATTTTTACAATAGTTGCATTTGAAAAGTGGCTTATTAAAACAAAAAGAATCCTATTTTGAATTTATATGAATAAGTATTATTGAAACAACAAAATGCAATAAAATATCAACCGGAATTGTTTGTTTAAATACAACTAAAGTTTTTTTTGGTTCAATCCAAAATATTTTCTATCCGTGAACGGCGTGGAATTCATTCAGTGTATACCAATGTAAATATACTAATTTGAAAGATTCAAGCACATGTCATGTAAAACCTGGGGGGGACGTGCTGTCAAATCAGCCTACTGATCATTCTTGTATGAAACTGGTTCCAAACGTAAACAAACGCTGTAGGTTTCTTATGGCTTGTTTACGTTTGGAACCAGTTATGCGAGGTAGGCGACGATTCTTCGTATTTGAAAGCCACCTCCCCCCCCCCCCCCCTCCTTGTGTAAAACACGACGGAGGTCAATCGTTTAGTCAGTGTATTAATTTGATTTGTTTATTTATTTGGAAATATTATTATAAAGAACATTCAAGCTGGTCGGCTTGTCGGGTGTGTATGATTATCATTTCTAGATAAACATTTCAAAAACGTCCTATCTGCATTGATAGATTCTCTTCATCGATTTTCTCTTTCGTTAATAACTCAGCTGCAAAACCTTTCCCTGTAGTATTTGACGTTTTGGACGCTAGATAAGAACCTTCTTTATCAATCTATGTGGTAGAATAAGCGCGAAATCTGTTTGCATAGCGGTGGTTATGAAAAGAGAAAGTCGATGAAGAGAATCGATCAAAGCATGATCAGAGATCTGCAGATAGGATCATTTGAAATATTCATCGAGATTTGCTTCACAGCTTTATGATGCTGGGCCTCCCGATAGAATGAACGAGATATTTCCATTTTCCACCGGATCTAAAAGACACGGGTCCAGCGTATACTTGTTTAAATTTCATGGTTTAAAATTCAAATCCATCGTGCCGTGCCCGGAATTTGTACGACCAGAAGTTAACGAATTCACTCTGTTGCGTAATGGATAACGAGACATGTGTGAAGGAGGACTTCAACCAGATTCCAGGAAACCTGTATGTGACTGTTAAGGATAAGTGTGATGTTGACCTCCGGACACAGAAGATATCGAAGTTTGCCAAGAAGTTCTTAATTTGGCAAGCGATTTGTACTTGCGGAATGCGGAGTACACCTTTCGTTACCGCAAGCACCATGAATGGATTTGCCACTACACGAAGGACGTGCTAGAGTGCACACTAAGATTATTTCACCGAAATCTGTGAATTTTTACCGAATTCTCAACAGCTGAACGTTCGGTAAACAGTTCGGTGATTTTTCACAGATTTCCTGTAATTTTTCACCGAATATCTGTGAAAAATCACCGAACGTTCAGCTGTTGAGATTTCGGTAAAATAATCTAAGGCGAATTATATCGATTTCGTGCTGAAATATCTGAACCCTCCAAACACTCCGGAACTGCGCCCAATAGAAAAATACTAGGCCATTATGAAGGAGTACCTTCTAAAACGACCTAAAGTGATGAAGAATGTAGAAGAAATGAAGAAAGCATGTGTTAATATGCATAAAAAACTGTCGAGTCTGAGGTCGTGCAGAACCTTATGGCTGGGGTTAAGGCCAAGGTTTGCGCATTCGGATATAAAGGCAAAATAAATTAAACGAATGATGCCAAAATTAACTTTAATTGTTTCTTTTTACTCCCTGAAAATTTGATGATAATCGGATAAAAACTAGAATTTTGAGAATGAATTTTGTGTGTACGGATTTTAAACGGTACACCCTTCACGGACAGAAAATTGTTTGCATTGAACCAAACAAAACTTTAGTTGTATTTAAACAAACAATTCCGGTTGAAATTATATTGCATTTTATTGTTGTATTCAAATAAACTCAACATAAGATTCTTTTTGTTTTAATAAGCCACTTTTCAATTGCAACTATTGTAAAAATAACAATATTCTATTATTAAGCCAACAATAGTTAATTTTAATTTAGCATTTATTTGCTGTGTCCATTCCCTGGGCCATGAATACAAAAATAACTACCAACCATTCCCTCGTTTTCACCCGGACAAAAATGTAAACAATAACAAAAATTTTCTCATTTGATTAAGTATTGTTTTTAATTGTGAATTTCGGGAAATAAGTACGAGATTTCCGAAAATCTTAAGACTTGAGGTAAGCAAGTAAGCTGCAGTTCAAGCTGCAGTTGTTAAATATAATCAATTTTTAAGTTTTTTTTTCCTTGATTTTTTCCGTCGATCTTGTTTTCCGTACTGAGTACCAATGCTCCCGACGCCAGGAATGCACCTCCCACACCTGGACCCTACATATCGACCCATCAACTCATGAACCGGTGACCAACGGCTTTACTTCCCTTCCGAAGGAAGGCGTGATCAGTGATTTTATGCCTCAAAAATTCAATTGCAATTCTGTTTGTTGTCACAAAAAAAAAAATCGACATTATTTTTGAATCAATAAACATATTGTTATTTCTACTGCGTGAATTGTCAGCCTTCATAAAATAAATTTGATTGAATCAACAAGAAATCTCTTTTAAAAACAAACATATTTTTCTTGTTGACCCAGCTGCCAAATTTGACAGCTTACGTCAAAACCATGAAAGCTCTTGTAAATTCGAAAAGATTTTCTCTTTGATTTAACAATCCATGGGTTTTAAGGGACAATAATGCTGGATTGTTGAAACAATAATGATTTCTTTTTGCAGCCAAAACAAAATGAAATTCTTATTGCATTTACGTCAAATATTATTACGTTTAAAATATTTTTTTCTGCGTGTATATAATTGATATTTGTAGCTAAAAGTGAATTTCGCCATACATTCTAAAGTCGATTATCCACCACGATTGAAGGCTGCAAACAGGGACAGTATCAAAAGTTAATCCGAGTTGGAGCTTATCACCATTAATCATAAACGGATCTTTCATAAAAGTAATAAGCATTTTACGAGACGTTCTGATTCAACTCATGAATGAACATTGACAGGAGGCCGTTACCTAACGGCTGTAAGAAGCAACATCAATATCATCAAATTTTGTCAGGCAAATCAGCTCCTTTCATTTTGTAAAATGGACTATTGTAATTTGTTGTTTTATTGGTTTCGATAGCCTGTTCGTATAAACTATACATCAAGTCAAGGATGAAACTTTAGGAAAATAACAATAAAATCCAAATTAAAACTTTACAAAAGTGAATTAATTACCGTATGAAGGGCAAGTAGATCTTTCCGAACTCGCTCTAATTCTTGCTTACGCCTAGCAGCTAGTACAACTTTACATCCTGCTAGGAAGAATGTATGTGCCAGAGCTTCCCCGAGTCCTGAACTGGCACCAGTAATTAGAACCACCTGCGAAAATTTAGCGCACTATAATTATAGTTTTTTGTTTCATATGGTGTAAATAACAAGTTTACCTTCCCAGGCAAGCATTCTCTGTATCGCCGTTCCTTAACAATTCCAATAATTTTGAAGATCATATGTGGTAGGGTAAACGGTAACATAATTGTGGACAAAATCCACAAAAAAAAACTTCCTTCTGAGCGACACAAACCCGTTGATTCTTCCAGTTGTTTCATAGTAATCTCGATGACTAGATTACAAGACACATGAATTGTTATAAATACAAATATTTAATGATGTTATTTATTAATTTAGAAATGACAGGAGCAAGTAAAGTACGTTACAGAGAAGATAATTTTTGTCAGATTTTTTCGATTTTTTTCGCACGCATAGACTTCTCTGACGTTTGTAAATTGCACAAGTATTAGTGCAGAACTTTGGGTGAATTTATTGAGTTCTCCAAGCAGGATCTCACGAACACTAATCTAATAATATAATTTTACACACACTAGCGTATACTGCCATGTACACGGTAATAATCAAACAACCATTTATGAGTAAAAGTCAACCCATTGTCAATAAAAGTGGCACTACTAATTAATGAGTAATTTATTATGCCTATTAAGTAGTAACTGTTAGCTACTGTTAGCAGAAACTCATTGTTGTTAAAATAATTTAGTCATAAACGAGTAAAGCCACTTTTATAAAAATGGGTTAACTTTTACTCATAAAAGGGTATTTGTCTGTTACCGTGCAAGCGTAGGGTTTGTTTTCGTTTTGTTGTTTATTTTTGCTTTAAGCCTGGTACGCAGCTGAAAAGTAATGACGTTTTTACGTGCTACGGGATTGGAAGATTGCCGTAAAAGCTCAACGCAGATGTCGCCACTGCATGATGATGATAATGTTGACAGACTGCATATAAAATTCGGGAAAATTAGCGTTAAATCATAATTTTCATCAAGCCTGTGTAAAATCCTTCCAATATAACATTCGAATTGAAGAAGAAAACGTTATTACGATCAGACTGATGTGCATTTTTGACTTTTCCAGTTGAACTTTCATAATATATATTCATTTCATTTCGCGGCTCCATCAATGCTGCATCGTAAATATGATGTATAAACAGAAATAAATTGCTCAATTACTCAAAATAAAGATGATTTGTCATCTTGTTATCACTTTGAAAACCATCTAGCACCATTTTATAGTATGGTGCGTGTTGAGTAAAGCAAGTTCCGTTGCGTTTTCCGTCGAAAATTGTGAGTATCAATATGTTTGCTTAGAAAAGGCCAAAATGAACATTTATTGAATATTGGCGTCCTATACAACCAATTCTCCATTACCACCAGCATGATACAACCTTTCCTAAGTAAATTCACTTAATTTCCACTCTCATCTTAGTGGAAATCGCACATATTCACAATTTTCCGAAAAATGCAGCTGCGCAGGAGGTAACCTCTCGCTGTGGGTGCAAACTTGTTATGCATTATTTTCCATGAAAACATCTCCGATCCATACCGAAATAATAACAATTAGTTTTCAAACACGTTTTCTTACACGATTCAAGCAAAAGTTTCCACGGGAAATTATTAGTTTTTCTTTATGGACCGATTTGCCCCAAAAATCGTCTGTTTTACTTGGAAAATTTGGAAACTATCCTCCTTCTAGTAGTTCTCACTTCGAAATGTAGGAGGCGAAAGCTTGGAAAAGTTTCACTGCAAGACGCCAATTGGTCTCCGGTTCATGAGTTGATGGGTCGATAGGTAGGGTCCAGGTATGGGAGATTCCTCCCTGGCGTCGGTAGCATTGATGCTCAGCACGGGAAACAAATCAAGGGAAGAAAAACAAAAATCAGTATATGAAGTATATAAACTAAACTAAAACTAAAAGCTATGAAAAAAGTATAAATCACCTACCCTCTAGCATGTCCATCGTTGCGCACTGTCCAGTTTGGACCGTAATTCCTCAATTTTCCTGCTGTTCTTCACTGAAATTTAGCAAATGGCGTGCGTCAACAAAGTAGGATGCAGCAAAGTTTGAAGTTTTTTTATACCCATTAATGAGTATAAAAATACACATTTTTTGACTGGTACTACATTCTTAAAATGTGTATTTGTATACACATTTTAGGATCTCCAAATTTACACATTTTTTGACAGCTGCATATAAATATAAAAAATGTGTATTTTTTTACTATTGTTTACCGTGTAAACAATAACAAAAAAAAATTCTCGTTTGATTCAGCTCTAGAGGTAAGTAAGTATGCTGCTGTTGCAAAATATAAACAGTTTTTCTTTTTTTCCTTGATTTTTTCCGTCGATCTTATTTTCAATACTGAGTACCAATGCTCCCAACGCCAGGAAGGCCGCTCCCACACCTGGACCCTACCTATCGACCCATCAACTCATGAACCGGAGAGATTTTATGCCTCAGAAAGTTTTTTTTTAATTTCATTGTAATTCTGTTGGTAACAAATAGAAAACAAAACAGCAGACAAAGTTGGCCGACTAAATCCATCGACGAAAAACTATTAAATAGGCCGATTGCTCGGTGTAGCACCAGACGAAAAACGATTTAATCTGCTGATTAATACACCGACTGAAATTAATTTTTAAGTGGCAATAGATTTAGTCGGTGGACGAATCGGGTGATCTGGATTATGTTTGTTTATTTGGAAGATATTTTCGAAATAAAGCACGATAAAATTCAGAATTATATACCATTATTACGAGTACTACTTTTTTGCTCGGATCATGTTTTGATTCCCACAGAAACTCGCTAGAATAAATACAAAATAATAGTTTTTTGGTTGAAATTTCAAAAATGTATTCATTTTGACACATTATTTCGGACTTATCACCGCTGCGATTGCAGCGCCACGGTGGCCGATTGAAACTTGGATTTTTCAATTGAAAAAACGACTTCTTGATGATTTTATTCAACTGCATGCTTAAGTACTTGTACTATTTTGAATAAAAACTTCTGTTCAGGCTTTGTTCACACAAATCTGGAGAATTTATTCAACCACAACATCGAAATATTTGGTGTTGAATAAGGTATGTCGAGAAGCTTTTATTCGACTTACAAGAGTTGTAAGAGAGCTTATTCGATCAAATTTTTGATTATTCAGCGTTAATTAGACATCATTACTTTCTTAAACAGCGATGGTACAAAGATGTATTATAGACGCTTGATTCTCATGTGAACTTATGTTTAATTAGACATTATTATACATTTATTAAACGATTATTCGACTACGGAATAATTCATCTGAAAATAAGAACGACACAGAGCAGGGGTTGTTCTCGTTGTGATTGTTCATTCCTATTCTGTATTTCGTTTCGAACGAAATTCTTATACAAAAAAATATTTTTTGTATGAGAATTTCGTTCGAAACGAAATACAGAATAGGGGTGGTTATGTCATTATTTCTGTCGAAGCACGCGCCCCTCCTCCACACAGATACTAGAAAATTTATTACATATATACATAACACACATGTCGTAATATGGGATTCGAACCATGGCCTTCTAATCACCAGCCGCTTGCCTTGCCTTCTGAACTATCCTAGAATACATCATATGGGCAGCTAAATAAGCAATAAAAGCTTGAATCTGAATACCTATTAGCTCTCCCAGCCATAACTCTAGCTAATTCAAGGATATGTGAGAATGATTAATTCATTCATAGTTGTTTTACATGAGACCAATGTTACACTCTCTACACACCAAAATTAAGATTCAAGTTCCCAGTCCGCATCGTGCTCTCTTGCCGTGCGGATCTATTTTCTTTTTGCTGAAGGAAGTGTTACTACTACCTAAAGCTACAACAAATTTAAACAGCACTTTTCAGTGCTCAACCTGTAAAAATTTTCTACCTTGTTCAACTCTTATTCCTCTTCGATCCTTGTTTGGACCCTACCCGAGGTAATCCTTCTTGGATATCGATTTGGAAAATTCCTCTTCGATCCTTCAGATTCTTATAGTAATCTGCTTGGAAGTCGATTTGGATAAAAAATTTACTGCCGCCATGGCGCCTAAACGCAAAAGAAAGGGGCAAACTGTTGACCCCCCTTCTGAAGAAATTAATTTGAGTAATCAATTTGATTTGCTCACGGATGATGAGAATGATCCATCATCCAAGAAAAATTCTAGTAAACTTTCCCGGCTTAATGCCAAGAAGGAAAAGATTCCCCCTATTGTGATAACCACTACCGATTTCCATGCTCTTCGCATGGAACTTTTGAATTTCGTGAAAGTTAAGTTTTCACTACAAATTGGACGTCGGGGTGAATGCCGTGTATTGGCTGAAACCTTGGACGGATTTAAATGTCTTCTCAAGTATCTTACTGAGAAGAAGCACAAATTTTTTACTTACGACACCAAAACTGAACGTGTGTTCAAGGTTGTCATGAAAGGACTGCCCAGTGGTGAATCCCTGGATCAGATCAAAGATGAACTGGCAAAATTACTTGGAGTTGTGCCACTCCAAGTAATCAAAATGAAAATGAAATCCCGTCCTGGCGATTCGCGCAACGGGATTTCTAATGATTTTTATTTAGTTCACTTCAAGTCTAGTGAACTAAACAACCTTAAGGCCTTAGAAAAAGCTAGCCTTATGCTCCATGTCCGAGTGAAGTGGGAACACTTCAGGAAGACTGGAGGAAATTTCCAAAACCTCACTCAGTGCCGTAAGTGCCAGGGATGGGGTCACGGAACTAAAAATTGCTACATGCCAGCTAAATGCATGAATTGTGGTGATTCCTCTCACGCAAAGGACGACTGTCCTGTGAAGGAAGATCCTAAGAAATTTAAATGTTCAAATTGTGGTGAAAACCACAAATCCAATTTTTGGGAATGTAAGACTCGCAAAGCGATCCTACAATCTCGTTCTAACCGTCAGGTAGGAAACGCTCCACGTTTCCGACCAGGTACAAATTTCTCTGCTGTTAACAACGGTCAGCGAGGAACAAATTCTACATTCGTACCCGTAGGTACAAATATCTCCCCTGCTTCAAATGTTTCATCTGTACCTACTCCCCTCGCTGCTAACAATGTTCAGCGAGTTAATGGAGCTACCTATGCTGCTATTGCAGCGGGTAGAAATCAAAATACTAACCAACGTTCTAACGGAAATTTTAACAATTTTGACTTAGGAAGCATTACTGCCCCCAAAATGGAATTTTTACAGAATTCATTAATTGACATGATTTCTGATATGCTTAAATCTAACTCCATGTTTGATGCTATTCAAACTGGAGTAAAATTTGCTAATAATATTGTCATGACTTTAAAATTCAGTAATGGATTTTAAAGCATTAAATATTGTAAATTGGAATGCTCGATCTCTTAAAGATAATGAAGACGAGCTATTTAACTTTTT